GCCCTTCGACTGAGTTGCGCTACTCTAAGAACCCTCAGGGCAGGCCTTCATTTCCCTCAATCGCCCCCGTAATTGGCCTTAATAACCCTAAACCCTAAACCCTAAACCCTAAACCCTAAAGCCCCTTGGAGTGTTTGTCGGGGGGGGTATCTAAACTATGGGCGTTAATGGCAGAAAACGATCCCACGAACATCCCCCAAAAGAAGGGCCGCTGACTTCGATCAAACCCTCAACCCTAGACAGTACACCCCAAAACCCTAAACCTTAAACCCTAACCCCTGAACCTTAAACCTTAAACCCTAAACCCTAAACCCTAGACCCTAAACCCTAAACCCTAACCCTAAACCCTAAACCCTAAACTCTAACCCTAAACCCTAAACCCTAAACCCTAAACTCCAACCATAAACTGTCTTCGAGGCTTCGGATCTCATTCAGCTTGCTAATCGGGGCCAGAGGCAACCTTGGGCCCGACGTCCGGATCCGACATGGCGACGCCCGAAGGGATGCCAATCCCTAAACCCTAAACCCTAAACCCTAAACCCTAAACCCTAAACCCTAAACCCTAAACCCTAAACCCTAAACCCTAAACCCTAAACCCTAAACCCTAAACCCTAACCCTAAACCTCCAAACCCCTAATCCGTGAAGCCTGAAAAGCAATCCGAGTCCCAGGAGCGACACGTCTGTCTGGTCCAAGCCGATCAGCGTGAAGGGATTGTTTGGGATGACGTCCGAATACCTCGAAGACAGCTTACAGTTTAGGGTTGAGGGTTGAGGGTTTAGGGCGACAGCTTACAGTTTAGGGTTGAGGGTTGAGGGTTTAGGGCTTAGGGTTGCGAGGTTTGCCAGGAATGTTCATGACAGACAAGTGATCCGGAGAACCTTTGTGTTTCTTCGAAACCATAGTACTTTAGCTGGACAACTCAGTCCTCAAGAACCTAAACCCTAAACCCCACAACCCACAACTCTAACGGTAGTTACATGGTCTCTTGATATTTTTGGCCCTTAAACGGGGACCTTGTATATACCACTGAAATACCCCATACAACCCAAGGGCTGATACTCCAGACACCTTTTAAAAGGAGGCAAGGGACCATACTAGGACCATGTAGCTACTCTTAGAAGAACCCACAACCCTAAACCCTAAAACAACCCTAAGTTCTAAAACGACCCACAACCCGCAACCCTAAACCCTAAACCCTAAAGTCTAAACTCTCCTTTCAGCTGTTAAAGTGGCGCTGAGGTACTGTTCTGGGGTTTAGGGTTTGGGGTTTAATTAGGGTTTAGGGTTTAGGGCTTGTGCATCGAAGCCGCTGCATGTTGACGAAGAACATGAGGCCGCCATAGATGAAGATGGGGATGTGCGATGCGTAGTAAAGCAGGTTCAGCTTCCTGAACCCTAAACCCTAAACCCGAAACCCTAAACCCCAAACCCTAAACCTAGACCCAGGAGTAACCTCGGGTAAAGAGTAGGAACGAGGCAGTTGGGTTTAGGGCCCACTTGCTGGTTCGTAGGTAGCTAGAACTCGGGTCAGAAGCAGTCTAGCTAGGGTCATAAATTACTTACTTCGGGTTTAGGGTTTAGGGTTTAGGGTTTAGGGTTTAGGGTTTAGGGTTTAGGGTTTAGGGATATAACTTACAACTTCTATCTCGCATCCCTACCGATACCTATCCTTGTACCTGATTTACAATGTGTAAGAATAGAAGTCCTGGCCCCTAAATCCTACGCCCTCATCGACTCAGCACTACCCATGAATCGTCAAGAAAACACTCAACCGAACCCTAAACCCTAAAATTTACTCCTCAAACCTAAGCCCTCAAGCTCAGGCTGCCTTTAACGTGATTCGCGTGCAGCGCCGGCTCCAGCACCCTGTACCATGGTCATCATCACCCCAAGCCTGCAACCCTAAACCCTAAACCCCAAACTCTAAACCCTAAACGCTAGCCCGAAACCCTGAACCCTAAACACCAAAACCCCAAATCTCAAACCCTAAACCGTAAACCTCAGGGCTTAGGCCCTATAGGCCCTAAAGCCTTTCACTACGATCCCTGACTCACCGTCTTGCAGAGCGTGGCGCGGGTTGGTGAGGATGACCCGCTTCGGCAGCGAAAGCCGTGGGAACGGAAGGAAGTCCAGAATTGCGCTCATGGCTTCGATCAGACTACGGCTATAAGGGTTCGGGGATGAAAATGATTGGGGTTTAGGGTGGAGGTTTGGGATGTTTAGGGTTTGGGGTTTGGGGTTGAGGGCTTGGGGCTGGGGTTTCAGGGTTTAAAGTTTGGGGTTTAGGGTGCGGGGTTTGGGTTTAGGGTTGAAGGCTTAGGGTTCAAGCTTTTGAGGTTTAGGGTTTAACGCTGGGGCTTAAGGTTTTTGATGTTTAGGGTAGGGTTTAGGGCTTAGGGTTTAGGGTTTAGGGTTTAGGGTGTAGGGCTTAGGGTTTGGGGATTGCTGAGGGTTGAGCAGGGGCCGTGTTTAGGCCTCAGGGAGCTTGGGTCCAATTAGGGCGTGGCGCCCTTTGCAAGAAACCCTAAATCCTGAACCCTAGCCCTAAACCCTAAACCCTAAACCCTAAACCCTAAACCCTAAACCCTAAACCCTATAAATCCTGAAGGTCCCTACCTCCGCCTCTCCCACATGCCCTGAGCCGACCGACGGCCGCGGAGGCGGCTTTGGTTGTCGGGGTTCCGCGGAATTCCGGGTTTCGGGTTTAGGGGTTTAGGGTTTAGGGTTTCGGGTTTAGGGTTTAGGGTTTCGGGTTTAGGGGTTTGGGGGTGTAGGGTTTAGGGCCACAGCTTTGGCGTTGGGCTTGTTTTTAGCCCCCCGAATTTTGTAGGCTGCAGGGTGTGCAGGGTGTAACCCTAAACCCTAAACCCTAAACCCTAGACCCTAAACCCTAAACAGTGATGTAGGGGTTTGGGTTCACGAAAATTGTTCGGGTTTAGGGTTTAGGGCTAAGGTTTAGGGCTAGGGTTTAGGGCTTTGGGTTTAGGGCTGGAGTGGAGCCCTTACATTATTCATTACTCATGATCTTGTTGCTACGGCGGCTCTTCTGTGTCATTCGCTTCTCATATTCTGCTAGACCCAAGAGCGACCCAGGAACAAACAGGGTGCCCTTTTTGGTTCAAACGGGAATGTAAGGCAACCCCAACCGTAAAAAAAAAAATGAGGGCCTTCTCCGGGTTCTAGTCTGGCTGACGGACGTCACGGGCTCTTGTGGCAAGCCGAAGCTCAAACCCATGAAGGAAGACTTCGCAAAAACAAATATTTACTTCGAACATCCCCACCTTAGCACTGCAGGGTCTCTGGGGTTGGGCACTTCAGGGAGTCTCTTGGGTTGGGAACTTCAGTTCTGGCGTTTGGCGCTCCAGGTATTCTCTGGCACTCCAGGGAGTCTCTGGGTTGGGCACTCCAGGAAGTCTCTAGGGTTTAGGGTTTAGGGTTTAGGGTGTAGGGTTTAGGGTTTAGGGTTTAGGGTTTAGGGACTGGGCGAAGAGGGAGAAGAGTTCCGGGCGAGGAGAAGAGTTGAGGTTAACCACCCCACGCCGAAGGTGGGGCACAAAAAAAAAACAAGAGCCGTCGAGCGCTTTCGAAGGTCTCACTCAAGAAGGCACAGACCCCGAACTGTAAACTGTAAGCCTTAAACCCTGAACCCTAAACACCCAAAACCCAAAACCCAAAACCCAAAACCCAAAACCCAAAACCCAAAACCCTAAACCCTAAACCCTAAACCCTAAACCCTAAACCCTAACAAACCTGAACAAACAACCGGTGCCTTGCAATGCCGGGCTCCAAGCTTCGAACGTGGCCATGAAAAGAATCCCCGGCAATTCAGGTTTAGGGTTTAGGGTTTAGGGTCTAGGGTTTAGGGTCTAGGGTCTAGGGTTTAGGGTTTAGGGTTTAGGGTTTAGGGTTTAGGGTTTAGGGTTTAGGGTTTAGGGTTTAGGGTTTAGGGTTTAGGGTTTAGGGTTTAGGGTTTAGGGTTTAGGGTTTAGGGTTTAGGGTTTAGGGTTTAGGGTTTAGGTTTAGGGTTTAGGGTTTAGGGTTTAGGGTTTAGGGTTTAGGGTTTAGGGTTTAGGGTTTAGGGTTTAGGGTTTAGGGTTTAGGGTTTAGGGTTTAGGGTTTAGGGTTTAGGGTTTAGGGTTTAGGGTTTAGGGTTTAGGGTTTTGGGTTTAGGGTTTAGGGTTTAGGGTTTAGGGTTTAGGGTTTAGGGTTTAGGGTTTAGGGTTTAGGGTTTAGGGTTTAGGGTTTAGGGTTTAGGGTTTAGGGTTTAGGGTTTAGGGTTTAGGGTTTAGGTTGGGATGTTCCTCCTTATTCTAACAGCCCTTAAGAGTGATTATAATCGGGGGTACTAGAATCCCTATCAAGGACAGTTCCCAAGTTTATGGGGTGCAGGGCCTGAAGACCCTAAAATCCACATCCTGGCTACCCCGCATGTGTGCGCGGCCTGGAACGCATCACCCTCATCGACCAGCAGCTGCCTGTCACGTCTCAGGCCACCAGAAACTCTCCTAAAGCAAGAGACCAAGAACCCAAAACTCTAACCCCAACCCCACCAAAAAACAAACAAACCCTAAAGCCTAAACCCGCCAAAAGCTCAACTCAAAACCCTAAACCCTAAACCCTAAACCCTAAACCCGAAACCCTAAACCCTTAAACCTTAAACCCTAAACCCTAAACCCTAAACCCTAAACCCAAACCCAAACCCTAATACCCAAAACCCTAAACCCGAAACCTTAAACCTGGCATCCCTGAGCCCCGCTCCCCTCAAACAGCGCCAGCCTTCTGCAGCGGCCCCCCCCCACCAGAGCTCTGAAAGCCCTACAGCTAGGGTTTAGGGTTTAGGGTTTAGGGTTTAGGGTTTAGGGTTTAGGGTTTAGGGTTTAGGGTTTAGGGTTTAGGGTTTAGGGTTTAGGGTTTAGGGTTTAGGGTTTAGGGTTTAGGGTTTAGGGCCCCATACTCAGAAGCCACATTCTCTCCGATAGGGGACTCCCAAAGAACTTCTTACAAGCGTGCACGAGGTGGCGTGAGATGGAGGATGTGCATGAAGCTCTCTTCCGTCAGCGCGGGGTACCTCGCGGATGCAGTGCTGCTTGGCGGCCGTCAGTGCCACACGAAAGCCCGAGACCCCAAACAGTAAACAAATCCCACAACCCTAACCCCCCCCTCCCCACCCCTCTCTATACTAGCCCTTTAGGGTTTAACCTTAATTAAGCTTAATTATCCTCAAATAGCCTTATAATTATGGGAGGAAGCTAAGGGGGGGAGTATAGAGGGGGAACCCATGAAAACCCTGAGGCGACTCTACCCCCCAAAAGAAGGAATCCCAATAAAAGGGTACCCCTTCCCTAAGCCCTGAACCCAAGGGCTCCAATTGTAGTTCCTTTTTGGGTTACTTATAGGGGAATTTAGTATGATAAAAAAAAGTTACTACATAGGAGCCTTTGGGTAAACCCTGAACCCATCTCAACCCTATACCCTATCTGGATGCAGAGCGTCAGATTTCAGAGGTTGAACGTTGCGGGCTGGCTCAATGGATACCCAAACCTTAAAGGGCCCAGCAAACGGGTTTAGGGTTTAGGGCTTTTGGGGCTTGGGGTTTGGGGTTTGGGGTTTGGGGTTTAGGGTTTAGGGACGGGACCCCCCCCCCCCCCCACAAACCCTTTCATACTAAATACGCCCCAATGTTCTCCCTAACAAGCACTCGAACAGTACGCCAGACAGTACTTCGCAGTATGCAATGGACATTCAAAGTTTCGTGTTCTGTGGTTCCATGCTAACTTCTGTGATCGCGCAGCTGGACGATTCTACTTGTGAACAAGCCCGAACAACACCGCGGCATGCTTCCATAACAGGGCCCTTAAGGGCGGGAAGTTCAGGATATGTAACCCAAGGTTCTGCAAGAGTACTCCCCACTACCCCCAAAGGCCTAGGTACCTACCCCCCCCATAAAGCCGCCCTCCCTTCAGACCCTCCCATTCCTAATTAGGGAGGGTGTTGCTTACTCTTTCAGGAGGAGGTCGACCCTATGCCCGTCGAACGCTGACCCAAAGCTGGGTTCGTGTATAGGGCTGAAAGGGTATCCTACAATTAGGATACCACAATAAGGACAGCAATTTTCTGTACTACAAAACCCTATTCTTGATATCTTCACTTGCGTTCCGTAAGGAGAACTCAGCCAGGGAAGAAGAGGAATGGCCGGTTCTTAGTAGGGATTGAGAAACTGACATACTTTCCTCATTCCCGACTAAAAACCAGGGAGAGGAGGGCAGGCGGGGTGGGGTGGGGGGTGCTGGAAGTCCAAGGTCATCAGGACCAACGACACCTGGCATCTCAGTTGACGGTTGACCCCTGAACCCTATACCCTAAAGCCTAAACCCTTAACCCTAAACCCCTAAACCCCTAAACCCCTAAACCCCTAAACCCCTAAACCCCTAAACCCCTAAACCCCTAAACCCCTAAACCCCTAAACCCCTAAACCCCTAAACCCCTAAACCCTAAACCCTAAACCCCTAAACCCCTAAACCCTACCTAAACCCTAAACTAAGGGCATGCTTCCAGAGGGCGCTATGGCATCAGAAGGCTTGGAGAGGAGACATGTAGACTTGGGTTTAAAGTTTAGGATTTAGGATTTAGGGTTTGGGGTTTGGGGTTTAGGGTTTTGGGTCTCGGGGTTTCGGGGTTCGGGTTTCGGGTTTAGGATTGGGGTTTAGGGTTTCGGGGTTAGGTTTCTTTTTTTTTTTTTTTGGGGGGGGGGGGGGGGGGTTTAGGGTTTTTTGGGTGTTTAGGGGGTTTAGAGGTTGAAGGGCTGGAGTTCGGTGGGGCAAAGGGGTCAGCCGGGCTTAGGATTCAACTTCGGGCTATGGGATTGAAAACTCAGCTCGCCGACCCCATACCTCATCAACCCTAACCCTAAACCCTAAACCCTAAACCCTAAAAACTGAATCCCTTAGCGCAACTTGTGGACCCTGAACCTTATATCATGGGACTCTACCCGGGACCCAGGTTGTACCCTTGGGTTTGGGGGAAAGGGCCATTATCAGGAGCCTATTGAGGGAAGCCCTTTAGGGTACAACCTTAGGGGCACGAGTATTGACCCCTTGATTATAAACCCTAAAGGGCCCTTATATAGACCCACAAAAGGGAGCTTGCTGGCGCGCCCCTATCTTTCAGCAACATAGTCAGCCCCCAGTCCTAGAATCCCCATTCCAGCAGCCCCAAGTCCGAAGAAAGAATCAAGAAGGGGATCAAGGCCCTAAACCCTAAACCCTAAACCCTAAACCCTAAACCCTAAACCCTAAACCCTAAACCCCGAACCCTAATTTTTGGAGGCCCCGACCCCCCCCCCCCCCCTCACCTGCTGCTGGAGGCTCTGCCAGACGTTGCGCTTGGAGTTGGCGAGCTCTGTGAGCACGTTGCGGAGGAGCTGTGGGGCAGTCAGCATACAAGGACCCATGGTTCGGATCGCCTCCCCGCCATCGCCCCCACCACACGACAAGGGTTTAGGAGTTTTTTTTAAACCGAAAGTCATACACCCTATATACAAAAAATGACAAGACCGTAGCCCCTGAAACACAGGCCGGACATCCTAAACCGGAAATCCTAAACCCCAAGCCCCAAAACCTCCAAAACCCTTAAAGCCCCGTTAAGGGCTTAGGGCCCAATTGTTAGTTCAAATGTGCCAAGAGTGGCCCATGAATCAGATCAAGCCCACCAGGGTTTAGGGTTTAGGGCGTAGGGAAAAAAGCTAAAAGTCCTCAGCCCCCCCACCCAAAAAAACACCAAAGCCCCCGTCAGCGAACCCTGAATCCTAAACCCTAAACCCTAAACCCTAAACCCGAAACCTTGTTGAAACAAGCGGGTTCCCCAGCAATGCCCTGCTTAGCTTATGAGATGTAACCGAGGGGGAAACCTCTAAACCCTAAGACCTAAACCCCTTAAGGTTTAGGGTTTAGGGTTTAGGGTTTAGGGTTTATAAGGGTTTAGGGTTTAGGGTTTAGGGCTACGACTGGGCACCCCAGTGAACACACGTGAGGGAAGAGGACCCCCACACCCTTAACTTTAAAGCCTGAAGCCATAACAAGCAAACACTCTTGACCCTAAACCCTAAGCCCTAAGCCCTAAACCCTTAACCCTAAACCCGAAACCCGAAACCCTAAACCCTAAACCGTAAACCCTAAACCTAAACCCTAAACCCTAAACCCCACTCAAACTTCCTAAGCTAGGGGCACGGAGGCCCTGCGAGCCTCTCGGAACGGCCCTTCCCCGGGCGCGTTTTCGGCTTCGGCCGCCTCAGGAAGCATCCAGGGCAAGGGTTTAGTTTAGGAGTTTAGGAGTTTAGGGGTTTAGGGTTTAGGGTTTAGGAGTTTAGGGGTTTAGGGTTTAGGGTTTAGGGTTTAGGGTTTAGGGTTTAGGGTTTAGGGTTTAGGGTTTAGGGTTTAGGGTTTAGGGATTCCCTGAATAGGGTTCAGGGTTTTGAGTGTAGAGTTCAGGGTTTAGGGATACCCCCTGAATAGGGCTAAGGGTATCGGGCTTTGGGTGTAGGATTATGGAGCCTAGAGCTTAAGGTGTAGGGTTTATGGTTTGGGGTTAAGGGGTATGGGGTTCAGGGTTCGGAGCTGTCCAGTCCTTTCTCTAGATCCGAGAACTCGCCACTCCACGCCTGAGACCCTCAAGCCAAGCCGTGAACCCTAAACCCTAAACCCTAAACCCTAAACCCTAAACCCTAAACCCTAAACCCTAAACCCTTCGTTGAACAAACCTTCGACACGATCCCCAAGCGGGCAACTAGGCCTGCCTCGCTCCGAATGAGATGCCATGCGTAGAGGAACTGGTGCCTGTACCTGGTCCAGGCGATGGTTTAGGGTTTAGGGTTTAGGGTTTAGGGTTTAGGGTTTAGGGTTTAGGGTTTAGGGTTTAGGGTTTAGGGTTTAGGGTTTAGGGTTTAGGGTCTTCTATACTCCCCTTAGAGCCTGAATACAAACAATATGTTTATATCCTCTTCGGACTTTATATAAGCAAAAATAGAAGAATGCTTTTTGTTTTTTAATAACCTCTTGGGTTTTATATAAACCAAAATACAAAAGACAACTCCCAAGGGGATATAGTTTAGATGGGTCCCGTAGTATGGGCCCTTAAAAGGGGACCCCTTGTATACCCTGTAGAACCCAAGGGCCCGGGCATCAGAACCCTTCAAAGAGTGTAAGGGACCATATTGTGTGATTATGGTGCAGGGCTTCAGGGCCCTAAACACAGAACAAATAGAAATTGTATGTGGTACCATCGTGAGTTTCCAAAGTTGTTTGTCTAAACAACTGACAATCCGAGCTTCAGTACATGAATCCAACCCGCGTTGGTCTCAAGCGAATCCAGGGGGAGTTTTCCGGGGTCCACAGGGTTGCACAAAATCCCAGAAACCTGCTGGAACGCCGATTGTTTGGTCTGGAAAGGGTCCCTGCCACACCCCAGATGTCAACAGTTGCAAGCCAGAGTTCAGGGGCCCTGGAGTCCAGAAAGCACCCGAAAGACTCCTCCCCTCCTCGCCTGCCCCCCCCCCATCCGTTCCAAAAACACACACACAAAGGGTTTAGGGTTTAGGGTTTAGGGTTTAGGGTTTACGGTTTAGGGTTGAGAGGCAAAGCAAAGAACAAAGACACTCGCTCAAAACTGCCCCCCCAAAACTCTGGACTTGAGCCCTCTACAAGTTCTACAAACCCCAACCCGTCTGGGGCACAAGAAGTTGCACAAGTGCTCGTAGAGCTGCGCGGTGCAAGCAACCACGTGGCTCGGATCCTCGGGCATTTACAAAGTTGGGAGGACGCCTGGGAGTCTGGGTGTATGAGTATCTCCGACTGTTCAGGGTTTAGGGCTTCAGGGTTTGTGGCTTTGGTAGGGCTGTAAGAGCTTCAGGGACTGGGGGTTCGGGGGTTTCAGGGTCTTCAGGGTGTAGGGTTTAGGGTTTAGGGTTGAGGGTTGAGGGTTTAGGGTTTAGGGCTTATGGTTTGGGGCTGTAGGGGTTTCGGAGTTCCGGGGCTTTGGGGGTTTGGGGCTTTGGGGCCTCAATGTTGGGACTTCGTGTCGACTTTACGGGATAGCACTGCACTAGGGTAGGCTCGGGGGCCGAATAAACATTAACTTTTTATGCCTTTGCAAGGATTATATAGGGATTAGGGGGTACGAACAGTTAAAAAATGTAATTACCCTAAACCCTAAGCCCTAAACCCTAATCCCCAAACCCTAAACACTAAATCAACCCCTGCGGCTTTTCTGCGCGGCTAGGCGGGGAGCAGCCGCGTCAGGGAGGTGTTCTCCCCAACTCCGGGCTGAACCCTGAACCCTAAACCCTAAATCCTAAACCCCTAAACCCTAAACCCTTAAACCCTAAACCCTAAACCCTAAACCCTAAACCCTAAACCAGCATGTTGACCTTTTTTATGAAGCCCACCTTTGGGGGAAAGGGTGTAAGCTTAGGGTTCCAAGTATGGGCCTCCCTTGTGATAGACCCCTTACAAACACAAAATTCAACCCTAAACCCCAAACCCTAAACCCTAAACCCCAAACCCGAAACCCTAAACCCTAAACCGATCTAAGATCTGGCGCTCTAAGGGATGGCATTCGGATCACGCTGCTCCAAGACCTTCCACCACACATCGCCGCGCTTCACGCATGCCTTGGCACGTGCGCTTCATGGCCCATGCACCGTCGTCTTACGTAGGTTCAAAACAGCCCTAAACCCAAAAGCCCAAACCCTAAACCGGAAACCCTAAACCCTAAACCCTAAACCCTACCAGGGATCTGAACAGTAATCCTGGGTGCGACATTGCTCCATTTGATGGTCTCGAACCTTGCCTCGTAGCATTGCGTCACGCTGGCCACAGACCCGCTTTTGCCGGCCCAGTAGCAATCGAAGCCAAGCGTGTCCAGCATCTCCTTTGTTCATACCCCAATATGGGTTCAGGGTTTAGGGTTTAGGGTTTAGGGTTTAGGGTTTAGGGTTTAGGGTTTAGGGTCTAGGGCTCCGAAAAAAGAAGAGTTGTGTGCTGTTGGGGGCACCCAAACTATCAGGACTAGAGTATGTTGGGGCATCCTCGGGTGGCCTTGGGATGTTCTCCCTTCTACTAACAGTCCTCAATGTGGATTATAATAGGGGGTACTAGAATCTAAACCCTAAACCCTAAACCCTAAACCCTGAACCCTAAACCCTAAACCCTAAACCCTAAACCCTGAACCCTAAACCCTAAACCCTAAACCCTAAACCTATTAAGGACTCGTTAGTATAAGGGGGAACATCCCAAGCGTGGCCCCATTTTGGTGGGGGGAAATGCCCAAAATCCCCCATCAACTATGTAGAAGAATCGCAGGAATGTCTCAGAGGTGCAGCAGCTCCCATGTTATGTACCAAGACCACAAAAAATCAAAAAAAACTTACCCTAAACCCCAAACCCAAACCAACCCTAAACCCTAAACCCTAAACCCTAAACCCTTTACCCTAAACCCTAAACCCTAAACCCCTAAAGCCTAAACCCCTAAACCCTTTGCCCTAAACCCTAAGCCATTGCTTTTGGGCTGTTTGCCTTTGTGATGGCTAAGAATCCACCACGGAGAGGAGTGTCTGCCTGGACCAGTGAGAGCCCTTTATGTCCCGGTGGACCTGCAGCAGGGCACACCCCCGCCCTGCAGCCCTAAGAGTAGGGTTTATAGGGTTTAGGGTTTAGGGTTTAGGGCTTAGGGCTTAGGGCTTAGGGTTTAGAAGCCGAGCCCCCTAAAACAGTATCCCGCTGGGTGACCTCGAACAGGAGGTACCGGACCATCCGCAAGGTTTGCTTTGAACCCGCCAGGATGGCAGGGTCGGCGCCCTCGGTATCCACCAGCATCGCGTCCACGCGCGGGAGCCGCAGCCTGCGATCAGAACACATGACCAGGGTTTAGGGTTTAGGGTTTAGGGTTGTTAGGGTTTTTAGAGTTTTTAGGGTTTTTAGGGTTTTTAGGGTTTTTAGGGTTTTTAGGGTTTTTAGGGTTTTTAGGGTTTTTAGGGTTTAGGGCTACTATATCCCCCTCTATACTACCCCCCCTAGCTTCCCCCATAATTAAGGCATGACGGGCCAAGGCCACAGGCTCCCCAACGAAAAATTTGCTCCCTTAGAGGATCTTTAACAAGGGTTCCGAAAGCCAAGGGTGCAGGGTTTCGGGTTTAGGGTTTAGGGTTTAGGGCAAAACAACACCCAGAAACCTATGAACAGTTCGATATGAACTCCATCCAGTAGCGGGGCGTTGGATAAGAAACGTCAAAATCTTGGGGGGGGTCACTATTGATAATTTCTGAATTATGAAGCTTCCTTACTTTCCGACTAAATCGCTTCACGAGATTGAGGGTGCCCGAGACTTCTTGCCCTCAGTTCTTGAAATCTCCGAGATTGAGGGCATGAATTCTTTGTTTGAGCTGGGAGGGGCGAACTGTTCTGCGGCAAGCATTCGGATTTTCCGCTTATACGAGCAGTCCTTACTAGGGATTCTAATGGGGAGTGCTAGAATCCCTACTAAGGGCTGTTCGCATAGGGGGGAGCACCCCAAGGCAAGCTGGTAGAGCATTGACTTCCGAATCTGCCTTCTGGCAGGTTGAAGCCAGGGGCGCCCCACATGCCTTAAGTGTTTAAGTTATTGAGGGGTTTAGGGTTTTAGGGTTCTGTGGGGATGATCCCCAACCCTAAACCCTAAACCTTAAAGCCCTAAACCCTAAACCCTAAACCCTGAACCCTAAACCCTAAACCCTAAACCCTGAACCCCAAACCCTAAACCTCTCAGGGTGGCCTCTGGACAAGCGTGTCCACCGTCTCTAAGGGCACTTTGACGAGCTTCCAGTGCTCGTTGTGGCTCAGACCTGCCCTCTCCTGCGCAGGGTTTAGGGTTTAGGGTTTAGGGTTTAGGGTTTAGGGTTTAGGGTTTAGGGTTTAGGGTTTAGGGTTTAGGGTTTAGGGTTTAGGGTGTAGGGTGTAGGGTGTAGGGTTTCCGGGTTTAAGTTCCAGGCTACCCCAAAGGTTGCGAAAAAAGGGCTTAGGTTTAGGCTTTCGGGTTTAGAGTTCTCGAAGGGCCCCGCCCCCCACCGACACCATGATCCTTTGGGATGCTCTCCCCCTAGACTGGCAGTCCTTAGTAGGGATTATGCTACCCCCCTATGATAACCCGTAAGTAAGGACTGTCCGTAGAGCCGGGAACATCCCACATGATCCTGCTTCAGGGTAGGAAGCATGCAGGCTCTAGTGAGAGAATTGAGAGGGCTCTTCTCCGCTTCGGCTCTCTTGCTCTTTCTTTCGCCATGGTGGTCAGAAAATATTGGATCCTACATATTTTCCGGGTTTAGAGTTTAGGGTTTAGGGTTTAGGGTTTAGGGTTTAAGGTTCATTTAGTCTTCAGGGCTTTGGGATTCTCATGGCACAAAGGTCGAAGAGCGCCTCCCCCGTTGACCACCCTCCCGAACGAACCTCATCAAGACGTGCGCTTGCATTCCGACCCAGCGCCCGAGCCCTAAACCCTAAACCCTAAACCCTAAAGCCTACAACCTAAACCCCTAAACCCTAAACCCTACAGCCTACACCCTAAACCCCTAAACCCTGAACCCTGAACCCCAAACCCGTCTCCTCGCCGGGTGGCGCGTCGGGGAAGGAGATGGTGTCCCCAGGCTTCGCGGAGTCCGATGCGGCCGCATGGACGACCTCTGGGACTTGGGGGGGGGGGGGGGGGGGGGGGGGGGGGTGTAGGGTTTAGGGTTTAGAGGTTTAGAGTCTAAGGTTTAGAGTTTGGGGTTTAGGGTTTAGAGTTTAGGCTTTAGGGTTTAGGGTTTAAGGTTTAGTGAAGGTATTTGGCGGGTTCTAGCCTTAAGGTTTAGGAGGCTTATGGGGATTAGGGGGTTTTAAGAGCTTCTACGGGCGGGTTCAGGATGCAGGAGGTTTAGGAATTCAGCCCAAGAAGGGAAAGACACCCCAACGTTCTACCTGGCAAACTTAACTAACTGCGACGAAAAGGAAGAGAGAGAGAGAGAGAGAGCAAGAATGATAGAGAGAGCGTGAGAGGCGGAGAGAGAGAGAGAGAGGGCTAGAGAGAGAGAGAGAGAGAGAGTGAAAGAGAGAGAGAGAGAAAGACGAATCCTGAAACCCCTGGAACAAAGGCGAATCTCACAACAACACCCCCAAATTCTGTTGTCCAAGGCTGTGAGCCCACAGGTCCTCAACAAACCTCCGAACAAATCGCAATCTTCAAGCAAACTCCGAGACACCCTGAGGGCGTCTCCGTCGTACTTGAATTTCTTCTGTTTCCTCGGCTTCGCTGCCAAGCACCCCAAAAGCCAATAAACCCTGAACCCTAAACCCTAAACCCTAAACCCTAAACCCTAAACCCTAAACCCTAAACCCTAAACCCTAAACCCTAAACCCTAAACCCTAAACCCTAAACCCTAAACCAAACAACCCTTTTCCTTAAAAGGGGCGGAGTATATGGGCATTATTTTCGCTCAGTTTTTTGGGAAGTTTATTAGGCAAACTACTAGAGCTGGTACCCGGACCTGAGGTTCCCAAGCCCGAAACCCGAGAAGGAATGAAGTTTGGATAGGGTTTAGGGTTTAGGGTTTAGGGTTTAGGGTTTAGGGATTAGGGTTTAGGGTTTAGGGTTTAGGGATTAGGGTTTAGGGTTTAGGGTTTAGGGTTTAGGGTTTAGGGTTTAGGGTTTAGGGTTTAGGGTTTAGGGTTTAGGGTTTAGGGTTTAGGGTTTAGGGTTTAGGGTTTAGGGTTTAGGGTTTAGGGTTTAGGGTTTAGGGTTTAGGGTTTAGGGTTTAGGGTTTAGGGTTTAGGGTTTAGGGCCGCCCAAATAAAACCCTTAACTTAGACCCCAAGCGGCCCTAATCCCTAAATCCCCAAACCTTACACCCTAACTAAACCCTAAAGCCCTAAACCCAAATCCGCAAATAGCATAGCAAGCTGCTCCCTCAGCAGCTTGTAATTCCTTGGCGCAGCCTCCACGCAGACAGCTACCGGGCTCTTGGCGGAGGTGACGGGTGGCGGAGCCTGAGTTACTCAGGGTTTAGGGTTTAGGGTTTAGGGTTTAGGGTTTAGGGTTTCGGGTTTAGGGTTTAGGTTTGGGACACTACCCCCCTAGTCGATAGACGTCGCGGGGTTTAGGGTTTAGGATTTAGGGCTTAGGGCTGCCCTGAATAGACGTCGTGGTCTTAGGGTTTAGGATTTAGGGCTTAGGGTTTAGCGTCTAGGGCTTAGAATTTAGGGCTTAGGGGTTTTTTAGAGTTTATCTAGGGTCTTGGGCTTGGGGGCCGCACGAGAGAATCTAGCAAAGGCTATGTTCCATTTACATGGGGCAAGGGCAATAGTGGCACGATCCCACTGCGCAGCTGAGCAAGCTGGAGGTGACAAACGTTTGGGGGTTAGGGTTTAGGGTTTAGGGTTTAGGGTTTAGGGTTTAGGGTTTGGGGTTTGGGGTTTAGGGTTTAGGGTTTAGGGTTTAGGGCGTACGTGGCTTTGTAACACTGTGACTTAGCAGTGTGCATCAAATACGGCAGGCACGGCAACAACTTATGATTGCTTTTGAACCTGCCCTTGAGGGGCGGGAGGGGGGGGGGGGGGCCGAACAGACTTAGGAAAGGCACAGAGGGGTTACAACATGTTGCTGAGACCCCAAAACCCCAAAAAAAACAAAACCCCCCCAAAACCCCAACCCCAAACCCCAAACCCCAAAACCCCAAAACCCCAAAACCCCAAAACCCCAAAACCCCAAACCCTAAAACCCAAAAAAACCCCAAACCCCAAACCCCAAACCCCAAAACCCCAAACCCTAAACCCTAACCCTAAACCCTAAACCCTTAACCCTAAACCCCAAACACCCCCCCCCCCCCCCCCCCAACATGCAAGAGCACAGAACTCTGAGGCCCAAGTCGCTGAAATGTCCGGGTCCAGTTCACCTTGGCTGGATTTCAGGAGCAGCTTCGCAGAACCCCCTGCATGCCTTACGCTTCGAGTTTTCGGGGTATTTAGGGTTTAGGGTTTAGGGTTTAATTAGTGTTTAGGGTTTGGGGGTTTTAGGGTTTCGTGTTTAAGGGTAGGGTTTCGGGTTCGCAGGTTTGAAGGAAGCCACCCCAAGAAAGCTGTAACTCGGCATAGTGGCAGGTATAAAAAAGCTGGATAGAAAGGCACTCCGCTGCCTCAAAGCGTGAACTCAAAAACACTCGCTGGCCCTCCCTCATCTATGCCCCAGTGCCTCCAGCAACAAGCTATGGGTTTACCTACTACCCGAATTTAGGGTTTAGGGTTTAACCTTCATTAGGCTTATCTGTCCCTAAATCGCCTTACTTTGTGGGGGGAACCTAGGGCGGTGGGGGTAACGAGGGGGTAGTAACCCTAACCCTAAACCCGAAACCCTAAACCCTAAACGGGGGGTAGTGGGGGAAATATGGAGAGGGTAGTACAGGGGAACCCATGAAGCCACAAGCCCCTGGAGCTCTACAACGCTCGAAGCCCTCCAGCAGGCGTGCGTCCTAAGCCCTAAGCCCTAAGCCCTAAACCCTAAACCCTCTAAGCCCTAAGCCCTAAGCCCTAAACCCTCTAGGCTATAAGCTATAAGCCCTAGCCCGATAAGCCCTATAAGCCCTATAAGCCCTATAAGCCCTATAAGCCCTATATAGTAGGGTTGGTTTTTTGCTTGCGCCGCCCTCAGCCGCAGGGACTGGGTGTCTTCGCGTTTCAATTTTGTGCTGCCTCATAAGTAGCGTGGCATTCGATGAGCATTTATCTGCTCAGCCGATGCTCTGTGGATTTCGGCCTTTCCACGTTTAAGCCCTATAAGCCCCTATAAGCCCGATAAGCCCTATAATCCCTATAAGCCCTATAAGCCCTATAAGCCCTATAAGCCCTATAAGCCCTATAAGCCCTATAAGCCCTATAAGCCCTACAAGCCCCTATAAGCCCTAGAAGCCCAAAGGCCGAAGCCCGCCCCAAGCCCTAAGCCAGCAAAGTGACAGGGGCCCCTGGGAACTGCCTTCGACCACTTTCGCAAGCTGAATCGCCGGTGTTGGTCAAAGAGCTCCAGCCAGGCGATCGCCTTACATGCGGGGAGGTTGTTACAGTTACTTTCCCCAAATATGTGCATATGAATAGATACACATGCAGATGCATATGTTCATATATATATATATAGAATGAGAGATATCTATTGGTTTATGCTGATGTTCGCATGTAGTAATAATTTCTAGTTTCCATTCATGTGAACATACAGTTGTGTATGTATGCAGATACTCTCATTGCTGTTTACTCTACTGGTGGTACCTGGTTCCTGTTTCCTCTAAGTGCTGATTGTGTTCTGCCAAGCTGCAACAAAACAGGGCAGGACAAACAGGCAAGCTGTTGGTCATCTTCGATCCCGCACAAGGATGACACGGGTATTCGTTGCGAACTCAAAATTTCCGTGTTTATATAACCCTTATATGTCAGGTGGTGGACCTGTTTGCGGGTAGAGTTGATCTGCGTTGTAGGAGTGTCGAACAAGGTGCTGTGCCGGAGCGTAATGTAGGGGCCTTAATTAATATTTAGGATTATCTTTATTTGTTTTTTTCTTTATTTTTTGGGGGGGTGGGGGGGGGGGGGGTTAGCATAGTATTCTTATCAAGACTCTCTGGGAATACTAGTATATACTAGTATCTACCCCTGCGTTGCCTTACTGTGCAAACTCGGGGTTGCCCATCCTTGGTTGTCAGCTTGCCCCACAGTTTGGGGTTTAGGGTTTAGGGTTTAGGGGTTTAGGGGTTAGGGTTTAGGGTTTAGGGTTTAGGGTTTAGGGTTTAGGTTTAGGGTTTAGGGGTTTAGGGTTTAGGGTTTAGGGTTTAGGGTTTAGGGTTTAGGGTTTAGGGTTTAGGGTTTAGGGTTTAGGGTTTAGGGTTTAGGCTTTGCGCCGTCTTCTTTATTTCTTTGCGTGGGGCCACTTCAATCAGAAACCACGTTGCCCGTGAAGCATGACCTTTAAAGCTGGGCTCAGGGATCAGGGTTTACCCCTACACCCTACACCCTACACCCTAAACCCTAAACCCCAAACCCCAAACCTGTTCCCTGAATGCTAAGCCCTAAGCCCAAAGATACTTCCAACCTTTTGAACTCGTGCGACGTCTTTGGCTTAGGGGCTTCAGTGTGGTCCCTTACCCTGATTTACAGGGATCCGAAGGTATGGGCCCATACTATCTATAGTGTAGAGAGCTTAGGGTTTCGGGTTTAGGGTTTAGGGTTTAGGGTTTAGGCTTTAGGCTTTAGGGTTTACAGTAATACCACTGTATAAGAAACCATTGTATAAGAAACTAAGACCCTAGATCCAGGGATTTTGGGCGATATGCGGTTGCCTTGTAGCTAAGAAACCTAGGGTGCCCTAGTGTTGGGGGTGCTACTTTCTGAAATTCGCGTCTACAAAGCTCTCCAAAAAACTGTTCGGGAAATATTGGGGCCCAGTCCAATGCTGCAAGTCGTGACTCCCTGACCGGGAGTCACATACTAGAGCTCTAAAACACTGGCCCTACCCCAAAAACGCGCGGGAGTCACATTCTAGAGATTTTCAGCCCTGAAAAGCTCTAAAACGTGACTCCCCCGCGCTTCTGGCCTGACCCTACCCCAAAAACGCGGTGGGAGTCACATTCTAGAGGTTTTCAGCCCTGAAAAGCTGTAAAACGTGACTCCCCCGCGCCTCTGGCCTGACCCTACCCCAAAACGCGGCGGGAGTCACATTCTAGAGGTTTTCAGCCCTGAAAAGCTCTAAAACGTGACTCCCCCGCGCCTCTGGCCTGACCCTACCCCAAAACGCGCGGGAGTCACATTCGGGAACCCTTCCCACCACCATTCCTGGAACATGGGTTTGGTCTAGTGGTATAGCGTACTCCCTTAAGAAATTTGTTTAGAAACCAAGACTACCCTAGGCTCAAACACCCCCGGGTACATGGGTAATGGAAACTAAGAAACTTAGGGTACCCTATCGCCGGAAAACCGTTTTCTTATACAGCGTTTTTACTGTAACGTCAAAAACTGTGGGAAACGCACGATGGTAATTGACCTATCGGCGCGAAGAGCATGCACAACGGGAGAAAGCTCAACCTAAACCCCCTAAAAAGACCCAAACCCTTTACTAAGAAGCCAAGCTGCGTCGTTCCCCTTGTTGCAGCCGATGTTGACCAGGATCTTATCCTTAACTGCTCCCTGAACCCTCTCAACACACGACCTTCTATGCACCTGATCTAGGCAACCGAGTTGAAGCTATTTAGGGTGTAGGGTCTGCCTAAACCCCAAACCCTAAACCCTAAACCCCAAACCCTTAATGTCTAGCATCCGGATCCGGGTCCACTTGCACCATGCTCCTGAGCCAGTCGTCCGATGGGCACCGGTAATCCCAGGGGTTGTAGATGTCCTTTCTGCATCTCCTCAGGGGGGGAAGGGGGGGGGGGGGGGGGGGGGGGGGGGATGGGTTTAGGGTTTAGGGTTTAGGGCTTAGGGTTTAGGGCTTAGGGTTTAGGGTTTAGGGTTGAGGGTTGAGGGTGTTGAGGGTTTGGCGTGTAAATAGGTTTTAGGGTTTGGCGTCCTTTCTGCTTATCCTCAGCATTCTAGACCCAAGAGTAACCTAGAGGCAGAAAATGGGTGCCCTTTTTGGTTTAAACAGCTTATTATAGGACCGGCCGAAGAAGCTCCATAAAACCTGCACCCTATACACCCTGCACCCCCCTAAGCATTAAACACTAAACCCTAGCCCCAAACCCTAAACCCTACACATTAAACCCTAAACCCCAAACCCCAAACCCTAAACCCAAAACCCGGAATCCTAAACCCAAACTGCCACCGAGTCTCGCCCTGACTTGCGTGCAATTTTTATCGAGGCAGCGCCGGGTGACTCCCCGCTTCCTTCGGGGTTGAGAGGGCTTGGGTTTGGGGTCCTAAACCCTAAACCCTACCCCAAACCCCAAACCCCAAAACGCCTAAACGCCCAAACCCTAAACCCTAAACCTCAAACCCTGTACCCGAAGCCCAAAGCCAAGCGTCTGTGCGGGTGGCTGAGACGCACGGGAAACCGAGACAGGAGGAGCCGGAGGCGCCGGAGCCGGCGCCGGAGCCGGCGCCGAGCTGTCGGGTGCCCATGGCTCCGGCTCTCTCTCCTGGGGAGGGATTAGGGTTTAGGGTTTAGGGTTAGGGTTTTGGGTTTTGGGTTGAGGGTTTAGGGTTTAGGGTTCTTTGAGAAAGATATCTTGCATCATATAGTGTTTATTATATTTTGACATCGCAGGATGTACTACTTGTTTCTCTTTGGCTCTTTCTGGGCAAACGAATCCAGCTGGATGCAGCCCATAGCTGCACTTAATTCAGAAAAGGGGTGAAGCAATGTGTGTATATGTATGTATGTATGTATGTATGTATGTATGTACGTACGTACGTACGTACGTATGTATGTATGTATGTATGTATGTATGTATGTATGTATGTATGTGTATACATATATATTTATATATACACATACATGTATGTATATACATTCCAGATACATAAGGACTACGATGTGGGTATAGATTTCGAGTTACATATGAGTCCACAACATGGTAAACACAACATGGTAACTTAGCTGAAGTTACTGAACTTTTTGCCGCCTAAACCCCCAACATCAAACCCAAAGCCCTAAACCCTAAACCCTAAACCCTAAACCCTAAACCCTAAACCCCAAACCCTAAACCGAAACCCTGACATACCAAGTTATCTGGGAAGAAAAGGCCAACCCCTTAACTGGGTTTAGAAGGGATCCTTAACAAACCCTGAGCCCTACAACCCGGGTTTAGGGTTTAGGGTTTAGGGTTTAGGGTTAGCGTTAGGGTTTAAGGGCATCTTAGTTGAAGATCCTGAACAGAAGAACCTTCGGAGCCGTCCAGGGAGGGCTGCGGCTCTCCACCTGGAGCCTCGTGCTGGTTGGTACTCCGGAGGTTTAGGGTTTAGGGTTTAGGGTTTAGGGTTTAGGGTTTAGGGTTTAGGGTTTAGGGATTTGGGGTGTAGGATCTAGGATTTAGGGTTTAGGGTTTAGGGCTTTAAGGGTTTAAGGCTTTAGGGTTTTAGGGCTTTTGGCTTGAGTCTAAAAAACCTAGACTCCTTCGCCTGTCTGCGAGACAGCAGGTCCCAAACCCTAAACCCAAAACCCTAAACCCTAAACCCTACACCCTACACCCTAAACCCTAAACCCTAAACCCTAAACCCTAATCAGAAGCAACCATGCCGGGCACCTCGTGGATGGCGACCGCACTAGTTGGCCCCAGGATTAGAGTCACCTCCGGGCGTTTCCCAAAAAGGGTTTAGGGTTCAGGGTTTAGGGTGTAGGGTTTAGGGTTTAGGGTTACCCCTACCCCAACATACCCCCCCAAATACGATATTCCTTATTATAAGACACCCCCCCCCCCCGCAAGAAAAAAAGCACCTCCGATTTTCGGAAAACCCGACCTCTGGGCGGTGTTGGCATATCCAGAGGCCCAGAAGCAAGGAGAGCAAGTTGGAGGCCACGCAGGCGCGCGCTGACACAGGCCCCATGGGGGTTTAGGGTTTAGGGTTTAGGGTTTAGGGTTTAGGGTTTAGGGTTTAGGGTTTAGGGTTTAGGGTTTAGGGTTTAGGGTTTGGGGTTTGGGGTTTAGGGTTTAGGGTTTAGGGTTTGCATGGAGGCACGGGAACATTGGCTAGGTTACCCAGTATCCTGAGAATAACAAAGGGTGCCCTGTTTTTTGCTTGGACGGTGTCTTTATACGGGGAAAGAAAACCCCTGCAACAAAAAAAACACAAGCAAAAACGGAATGCGGGCACTAAAAGGGTATCCTAGTTGGCTTTGGTGTTATTGAAAAAGTTGCCCAGTCCTAAACCCTAAAACCCTAAACCCTAAACCCTAAACCCTAAACCCTGAACCCTGAACGCTGAACCCTAAACCCTAAACCCTAAGTCTTCGATTCGAATCGAGCTGGGCTAAACCGACTGCAGTGATCGCATGGGAGGTCCAAAGGCAATCCAAGAGCCGAAGCGTACCGGCCGAGACTGCAATTATTGATCCATTGGCCCATGATGTTTAGGGTTTAGGGCTTAGGGCTTAGGGTTTAGGGTTTAGGGTTTAGGGTTTGGGGTTTAGGGTTTAGGGTTTAGGGTTTCGGGTTTGAGGTGTAGGGATGCCCAGCGCAGGAAGCTCAGAGTCCCTGCGTGCTACTGGCTGGGACCCCTTACCCCCCTACTACCAACCCTAAACCCTAAACCCTAAACCCTAAACCCTAAACCCTAAACCCTAAACCCTAAACCCTAAACCCTAAACCCTAAACCCTAAACCCTAAACCCTAAACCCTAAACCCTAAACCCTTCCCCACTTCTGTCTTTTTGG